TTACATGCTAGTTGATTGATGGATGGGGTAGACTGCAACTTTTGGAATGCCAACTGATGTTTACAGTTGAAAAATCCTTGGCTCGCTGTTGAGTAGGTTATTTTCCTTGTAGAAGGTAGACGAGATTTTACAAAAACATGTAGTTTTGTAGGTATAATCCCACAGTGAAATTTTATTGAGGTAAACACCTTATTTTGCGTAAGTTCGTGAATTAATTTGCCTGATTTTTTGGTCGATTTAAAGAAGTTTTTTCATAACAAACTATTACATTGAACTTTTAAAACACATTACTTTGATGAAAACGGCTATCCACACTTAAAAAACTTTGATGGTTATATTCCAAGGAGGCACAATAGTAAATTTTAACACAACGGCAAATGGGTGAAACGTTTAAATTTGTTCCGTCGGATAGATGCCAAAAATGCGCTCGTATTATTTTCCTTTAAGAACAAGGGTTCATATCACACAGCTATTATCGCTCGAATTTACTTAGCGCTTTATATTTGATACGTAATGTCCACGTCTAATTTTTATCCCCACTATGTGGATGATTTCCTAGCACAATACGCTTGACAAATTTTTAACTAAGATTCCGCGATTTACTTTTTCTCTTCGGGCGTGAAATTTACCCAATGGAAAATTCACGTTTTAACTAATGGTGCAAAACTGTACTTAAACTCGGACTAATATCGACCGTCACTTAAACGGAATCACTTGTTTGGTGCTTAATGCACGCGATTGAAAATTTACGATCTCTTCGGCCCGGCTATGCAGTACCAATCTCTCTTTTTAAAATTTTTTCCTCTTAACTCTCTCCTAACATATTCACGCCCCTTAATCGTTGCAAAATGGCTGATCTTTTTTATTACTGGTACTTCTCATACAATGGCCTCCATCTAAACCAATTAACTGGGGAATACTTATCAACTAATTTTTTCAGCGTTTGCAGAACCAGCTTTCCCAAGCTTGGCTGGTGACTCAATGATAAAAAACTTATCTAAAGAAATCCGATATTTATTCGTTATCTGCATCCTGTTTTGCACTGAGAATTTTCTGTGATCCCATTTATTGCGAATCGCGGCACAAGGAAGTTTAATACAATGAACCCAACATGATGTCATACTACAATAGTTACAAAGCGAAAAAAATTTTATCCCCAAAAGGAAGAAAGGTTTATCCAATTTTAGTACAAATCCAAATCGATATCCGGAAAAAAATTTGCAAAATTTCGACCGGCCATTACTCCACCCGTTACAACTGCACTAATAAAGCGCCCCTAAAAGACAGAACAAGAACGAGGGAAAATAATGATGCATCGATAGAGTTCACCCTGCTTTAGATTCATGAAGTAATATATAAAGGTCGGCCTCAGAAGATCATATTCATACTCAACTATAAAATTACTTACTCCACCAGGAAAATTTGTTATTTTCATATTCAAAATCCAGATGTCCAGATGCCAAATATTGTCGAGATTGGAACTGCGCTAAGGGATGCGCTATTTTGTAGCAAAATGCTTGCTTCGGTCTTCCCTTAAACCCAATTTTTTACATGCTTGTTGTCCCTACTCCTGTCTCTGTATTCCAAGTGCGCTTCTGATTCGCCTGATACAATTTTTAAGCAATCAAAACTCACTCATATATGGTGCCCAAATGCTGACCGTTATATTTAAGGTACAGAATTGGGCATAAACACACTCGTTCTTTCGAGTTATTTGCAGTTAAAGGTTTTGGATGTACTGATAGACATGCCTCGTCACTTAACTTTGCGAGCCCTGTTTTCGAGATACTCGCATTAGAAATTTTGATAATAATAATAATAATAATATATTCATCATGTTAATGTGCGGAGCACTTACATTGGTCATTGTAAAAAAAAGATATAGGTATAAGACATTACTAATACAAAAACATACATACTACCACAAACAGTTCGAGCAGACATATAACACAATACATATTAAAAAGTGTGCACGAGTGAATTCAGAGCTGAAAGTGTCCTTTACTGGTGCTCGTTGTAAATTGGTCGAGGGAGTAGAAAGCCTTTTTGAGTAAAAAAGACTGTACTACCTCTTTGAATCTTCGCATTGGGGGTTTCCTGACGGCTTCCGGGATGCAGTTGTACAGGTGTTGAGACTGCCAGACAGCACCGTTTTGGGTTGTTCACAGACGGCAGAAGTGGGTGTAGATGTTCGCTCTGAAGCGAGTTTCATACTGATGGTTATCGCTACTTAGAGAAAAATTGATTACATTTTTCTTAATGTAGCAAACCGCTTCGAGAATAAATAAACAAGGGAAAGTTAGAATATTTAACTCGACAAAAGAATCACGACAATCTTCTCTGAAACTTAGTCCATGAATTACTCGTATAGCCCTGCGTTGTAATTTGAAAATTTTTGGCCACGAACAACAGTGGCCCCACACCGTAATTGCGTATTGTAGTGTAGTTTGGATCAGACAGTGGTAGGCAGTTTTAACAATATTTAGAGAAGCATTGTTCACAAGCTTACGCATGAGAAAAATTCCGTTGCACAATTTTTTACAAATGGTAGCACAATTTTTTACAAATGGTTGCACAGTGTTCTTTAAAGCTCAGCGTCCTATCTACAACGCAGCCCAAAAACTTTGCACTTGAAACAAAATTAAATGGTACATGGTCACACGCAGTTTTTAAGGTGAAATGCATTGACGCGGTCTTATCACAGTTAACACGTAGTTGATTACTTTGGCACCATTCGTTAATTAAGTGAACCGTGCTATTTAGAGGTTGTTACAGCGGTCCTGAGATCCCTATCAGAAGTCAGAACTGTTACGTCGTCGGCATATAGTATACACGTGACATTTTTTGGTAGACAAGATGGCAGGTCATTTATGTAGGCAAGGAACAGTAGCGGTCCCAGGATCGATCCCTGCGGCACTCCATTGGTTATGTCGGTACTCTTAGATATAGTATTGTTGTATAATACACACTGCGTTCTGTTGCTATTAGCGAACAGCTGTTCGGACTGAAATTATAGAAATGCCTTAGTTTATTCGTTAATATTGTGTGATTCACACTATCAAATGCTTTGGACATGTCAATGAAGGAGGCAACAGAGTGTACACCATTTTCAAATCCCTGCAGCGTAGATTGCGTGAACTCTATGATGGCGTTTGATGTTCCACGTCCTTTTCTGAGCCCAAATTGTCTTTCGTATAAGAGTTCATTATTCTCGAAAAAAGCTACCATTTGTGTATACAGTATGTTTTCTACGACCTTTGAAAAGGTTGGTAGTATGGAAATGGGTCTGTAATTATTCATATCTTCTACCTCCCCTTTTTTTGTGGATAGGAATCCTCACAGCAGCTTTAAGGAGATCAGGAAAGACTCCGGAGCTTATCATGGAGTTCACTGCTATCGTTAAGGGTGGTACTATCAGGTTGATGTTGGTTTTAAGAAATTTTGCGTTTAGTCCATATATATCTCTGCATTTGCTAATTCTAATTTTGCGGATAGCATCACGAATTTCGATTTGTGATACATTGGCAAATTGAAATTGTTGTTTTGAGCTTGCAGATGTGGTATTGAATCTTAAAGGATCAGTGCTGCAGGTTAGATGACTATTGATGGGCTTAACTGCAGTGTTCGAAAAAAAGTTTACGAAGTTGTCCGCAGTTATCATAGTTGCCTTGTTGCTGCCGATTACTCTGTGGGAGTTTATAAGGGACCACATTGCTTTTGGTTTGTTACCTGAGTTTTTTACGTATAAGTCGTTGGCCTTAATTTTTGCTGCCCTAATTTCTTCCACATAGGTTTTGTATATCTCACTTTTTATTTGTTTCAGATTATTAGTGCGAAACTGTTTGATAGTCAACTAAAGGGTTGGTTACAATAGGTAAATCATAACATTAAATTCCCACCTATGGAGACAGTTCGTTTTGTCTCTCCCTAATCGAAATTATTGGTAAATATACCTAATTACTAAAGCAAATTGTAACTTTCTTTTTTCCGTTCTGCTTCAACATTTAAAATTTATATTGTGATAATCTGTTTCTCTCTATTAAATATATTAAGAAAGTACGTCTCTTCACCGACTACCCCGATCGAACCGCAGCCTTTTTACTGAAGACGTATTGCTTTCGCATTTCTCCATGAGCTTTTTAAACACCGCAGGCGCCGTTCACCAGTTATTTTGTTGACTACTAATCTTAAGGTTGATATTTAAATAAAACGTTTCTGCAAACTAGTAGCGTCATTTGGAAACTCAACATTTAATCTAATCTTTGCACAGTTGACATAAACGCCCATCTACTTATATCGTTAAATTCGTAATAAAAAATCCTACTCAATACAGTATGTACTTTTTTACCGGCCATATAAAAATATAATGTGAATGATGACGATTTGTCCGAAACGAAATCTTGTAATGAAAACTTCTCAACGCATTCAGAAAGCGTTTTTCATTTTTACCACCCGCATCTCAATAAGGGAGGTATTGCATTGGGGTGACCCCCACTTTTTTTACGGAAACACACGTTTTGAAGGACCAGGGATCCGAATCAGACAAAAACTCGATGATGTCGGTCACTCTGTCGTCTGGATGTGTGTCTGTCTGTAGTCTCATTTCCGGCTAAACGGCTGAACCTATTGGAACCAACTTTGGTACACAAATTATTAGCCATAAAAGGGCAGAATCGCGCATGAACAGGTGTGCGGGTGGTATCTGTGCACGCCACAGCAAATTTTTTGTATCTGTTCAAGTAACATAAAAAAAATTAAAACGAAGTCGGCAAATTTCGATTTCTCTGGCATATGTTCGGAAGTGATCTGAGTTTTCTAGTTTTCCTTGGCTTAAAGCATGATAATAACTTTTTAGTTACGCATATTTTCTCTGATTCGTCGTATCTCACACAGTTCCCCCCCCCCCCCAAATACTACTACTTATTCAAAATATCATGTTTTTGACTTTCTTCAAATGATTTGAATTATGTGCCCTGAAATTCTGTTATGCTTTAGGTCACCATAAATCCTAAGTATCAAGCAGCCGAATTGCAACACGCATTAAAGCTCTGCGATGTGAAAGCACTTGTTTGTTCTGAGAAATGTAAAACGTTGGACTTCTACGGCATACTGCTCAGTTTAATTCCAGATCTGAAAACGAGTGAGCCAGGAAATGTTTCATGTACGAGTATTCCCACTTTGAAAAATATTATCACCATTACTACATCAAAATTGAAGTAAGTACGTACTTCACCTTGTAAACACAGAATTATAGTGATTTTGGTGATAGGGGAACGTATAGCTATTATGACGTGATGAATTTTGGGACTGGAGAAATTGGGGACGAATGCGAAGTTGCAGCCGAGGACATTGCTAATCTTCAGTTTTCTTCCGTATGCAATGAAGAACGTTAGAGAAGCAGATGTGACTTTTGGCTCTTTTAGGGAACGACGGGAAGACCAAAGGTAGTTTGTTTGACACATTTTCAAATGGTAAACAACGCCTACCATATGGGAAAGAGACTTGGCATTGACGACGACCAGCACGTATACTGCTTGCAACCACCGCTATTCCACGTGTTTGGTATTTGTGTGTGCCTTCTTAGTGCTTACCACAATGGCACAACTTTGGTGCTTCCATCGCCGCTGTACAGTCCTTCGGCAAATATAAAAGCAATGGCGGAAGAAAGGTTTGGTTTAAAGCGCTGACGATAGATAGTTCATTTATTAATATTTAAGATGTACCGTGGTGTGTGGAACCCCAACTATGTACATAGATCTGGTTAGTTTACAAAGCAAGCTAAATTTAAAACTCTATGCACGCAGAGCTCTTATAGGCGCTTCACCGTGGCCATCAAAGCTTGTAGATGACATTAAGGACATATTAAAAATAAAAGACATTAAGGTACTCGTAAAAGATCGGGTCAGTTTTTTAAAGTTAATGTTGTAGTGTTTGTATGGTGCAACCGAACTGACGTCGGCTGCATTCCACTCTTTAAAAGAAGTCAATAAGCACAACGATGTGGCGGAAAATATCGCTTACATTGGCGAATATGTTGAAGCAAAAGTGGTAGACCGCAACCAGAACGTCGTTCCTTTCGGTACGCCTGGTGAACTTTGCATTCGCGGGTATTTAACGATGACAGGTTACTGGAAAGAACCAGAATTAACGGCGAAGGTTCTGAATAAAGACCGTTGGTTCAGAACTGGGTAGGTCCACTTTCAAAGTTAGTCATACCTTATTTTGTGTTACAGGGATCAATTCGTCCTTTACGAGGATGGTAGAGGTAAAGTGGTGGGTAGGTTGAAAGATATGATCATAAGAGGCGGTGAAAACATATCCCCAAGTGAAGTCGAAGAATTTCTTCATACACATCCAGATATTGTTGAAGCTAGCGTACGTAGTTTCCGAATGCGCAGATTATAAATTAGGTATTTTAGGTGATCGGAATAGCAGATGAGCGGTTAGGGGAAGATGTCGGCGCCTGCATTCGTCTCAGGGAAGGTGCGAACTTGTCTTTGGAGAATTTAAGAGAATTCTGCAAGGGAAAGATAGCAACTTATAAAATCCCTGCTCAAATAAAGATAATGGAAACATTTCCGAAGACCCTTTCTGGCAAGGTCCAGAAATTTGTACTTAGGCAAGAGTTTAGTAGAACGAAATGACGTATTTGGTCACCTTCGACGTTAATAGGGTAACTAAAGGTGGTCAGTATTGCTTCTAGAAAATGGTCTAAAAATTAAGGACAAGTTGAATAATAATATACACCCACATATTCGGACTGTATACGTATAAAGAATGCTGAATAAGTCTACTTCTTACCACATGTATAAAATATAAATAAAATGTTATTTTCGGCGCAAATATTGTTAAGGTAAATTTATACGGGATTTATTTAAATGCTTATTTATATCAAATTAATTATTAACGTTCACTGGAATGATAGAGTAAATAAAATGGTTGATTTATGACAATTCAATCATATTTATCACAATCACACTTAATTTATAACACATTTATAACATGAGCACCAAATTTACTATTTTTCACTTTGACATCGATGCAAGACTGCAACTATGTGAGCTGTTTATTTTTAGCTAGAAAGCATATAAGACAGTAGTCCTCAAGCTGACTCGAACAAATAGTTTTTACAGAATAGCGATTAAGGAACAAGAACAAACATCAAAATTCCAACATCGCATTGACATAAACCAAATTCTAGTGGGTACTCCCATCCAGAATTAATTGTGCAACCGCAAGGGATCCTATTGTTTCTATTTTAGGAAAATATCTCAAGTCTACGTCCACTCTATCACCCAAATTTTTAAAACGTACTGACGTAGATTTGCTAGCTACTCAAGAAGCTTTCTCCTAAACTTTAGTAATACTTCAAATTACAATTAACAGGTATTGTGATAACATATTCGAAAATATTTCTAAACGAGAGATTCACACCGTAAAATTGCCTCCGGTAAATTTGCTCTCGGAATTGTATCATAAAAGTTCGCTGCCGATAGATTCGCCTCCGTAAGATTCTACCGTAGAATATTCTTCCCAGGCAATTAAATTTTAAAGAAGATGAACCTTTCAAACGTCATTTAGACCTAAACCAAGAATTGAATAAATGCTTTCGAAGACCATCTACGTGTCCATCTATTGATTTTGGAGTTTTTGCTACATAGCAGTTTTGCAGATTAAGCCCTTCAGTTGCGCGAAAAATTTAAATATTCACCAAGAAATTCTTGCGTCTGGCTTGTCCCTCAACAGCCTGTTTAATAGAAATACTTTATTAGGGTTGCAGGCAGCTTAAATTTTAAACGTTTTTGATCGAATCTGCAGACTATTCTTACTTTATAGGGGTTGCAAACGGCTCAAATTTTCACATTTTATTTAATAATGTTGCCTTTGAAAGACTTCCCTAATTAGAAAATCAAAAAGAAAAGCTGCATACCTTAGTCTAATCGGTAATCAATAATTAATGAGGTACACATTTTCTGCCACAAAATATGGAAAACAGCTCAACTAATATTTGAAAAGTACAAAATTCCGGCTTTGTTTATGGCCAAAAATCTTGGCAAATTTGTAGCAGGTAGACAATTTTTTCGAAATATCCAAAACTCCTTCTGAAAGTACTCGACACAAATCGGTATATACGAAATGTGGCAATCCTGAATTAAATGCAACTAGTAAAAAAAATCATCGCCAAATGTCTGGAGAAAATATCTCCTGGGGCTTTGAGGTCATTTTTGTCAAAGCACATTTAGACTACTTTGGGGGGAGGGGAGGTACGATACTTATTGCTTGAAAAAAAATTTGGTGACAATTCTTTGCTGAACCTTCAAAGGTGTGTGGCATTTTAGATCGCGTAACGTTTGAATTTAACTAAAAGTTTTAAGACGAATTCGTATAATCGAGGTATGCAGAAAATTTGACAACCGCGTAATAGCACGTGATATGTTTATTGCGAAAGTTAATCGCCGAATTACAAGACTGTACCGCCATTTCAATGAAATTGTGCTTTTTAAATTCATGGCGAGTTGCCATTACGATTAAACCTAATATAAAGTGGCGATAACATTTAATTATATTATATATATAATATTAATTATAACAATATTGCCTACTTTTTCAGATTCTCAACTTCGTTTACAATATGTTCACCAGTATTTTTTATAAACATGATTTGTTAAATTATTGGATCTCTTGATGTCTAATCAACAACCCTCTTTTTAAATGTTCAATGTTGAATGGTAATTCTATATTTCCTTGCAAACACACAACTAGACGGTAATTATAAAATGTAAACCAAAGTCCATACTCATCTAATTCCTGTGTATGTATATTTCAGCACGGCCTGATGATGGGTAAAATAACACCCGAAATCGGTCGCCCATAGAAACTATTCATAATAAACAATCCTAGTTTGTCTTTTAAGGTGGCGTTTACATTGAAAAATTGGAAATTTGTTTCCACAATAACTGCCTTGTGGGTACAAATTTTTTGTTGAAATAGCATTCATTCAATATACAGAGTGGCCCAACGAGAAGTATACATAGGGCTTTTAGGGTATTAAATTTAGAAATTTCGAAAAATCCTCGAACGCGTCAATTTTGTATTCGAGGGGGACAACTTTTGGAATACAAATCACGAACCCAAGTCTTCACCCCTCTACGTAGGGAGCTTAACCCCTAAAATTTTAAATGGAATCCTCTAGCAAATGGCACATTATTTGAAAGCCAATTTAATCGTGATTACTAATCTGCTTTGCTTTTTAAATTCTATTGATTCGTTTCGGAGATAATTGCATTCGAAATTTTTTTTTCTAAAAAAACCAACACAAATAGGATCAAAGTCACTTTGTATTAAAATTTTATTTTGACGCTTCAATTTGTTTGTTAAACTTAAGTGAACCTGTCAGTTCCCTTTTTCCCAACGACTTTTTCTCAAAACTCTTCTTTGTGACCATGGCATTCTAATTCCTGTTTCTGTATGGTTCTTCCTTGAATCTCGACCCTCAATTATCTTGATTATCAGTTCCTCGGGGTCCGGCAGTGTGCTTTGATATTCCATCGTGGTGCAAAATACCTTGGTGGGACTCAGTAAAAGGAGCTAAGAAAATAATTCCTTACTGATCTCCAGTGACAGTGCCTTTAGTTTCCGCCCAGTTTCTAATTTTCTGGTGTCACGTGAATTCTCTGCAGTTTCTCCCACATTTCTTTCGGCATCTGGCATTCATTGCTCACCGGTCATCAGCGTCATCAACGATTGCGCATTTTCATCCTTTTTCAACCATTTATATTGCCGTCGGGGTTTCATTTTCTCCGATTTGTAGTTCTGGCTTCCATTTTTCGCCTGATGTGTACTCCCATAGGTCTTTCAAGTTTAAGATCGCCTTTGAAGACACCACGAAGGATCATTGTCGTGTGTCAGTGATTCAATTTTCGCTGCTCCGTACAATGTCACTTTTCTTCACCTTGAAGAACCTTTCCACGCACGTTCGTCCATTTACACTTTTATTGTCATTAATTCACTCCCACAATGAATATTCACGCGTCTATAACATCTTGAATATTGAGTAATCCACGACACAGTGAGAGAACTCATGTAATTAAATAAGACATCTATCGTTCATGACGTTCAAAATTCAGTTATTATGAACAAAATCCACTAACAAGAAATACTTTTCACATGTATTCAGGTTCGAAGGACCAATGTTCGATTTGAGATGGTTGTTTCAATTTGCTTCCAATAGGCATAATTGCTATGGGCGTATTCTTTCAGATGCCTTGGAAGTTATGTACAAAACCATGAACAAAATTTCTTCTTTTTGCAATCTTGTGGTGACAATTTTGAAAAATATTTCAAAAATCGGCAAATTCATTCCTATTCAAAAACTTAGATCCCCTCCTAGAAGTTCACAAATGTTGCGCCCCGAATAATGTCACATTTTAAATGCAGGAATCGTTTATTATGTTTTAAATGTTTAACACCACGTTCCAAAAACAAAGCTTATAAATAATTTAAAAAATGTACTTGCGCAATATTTATCGACTTGACCTCGGTCGTCACGGATAGGATCACTGTACCCACTCCTAAGCAAGTAGTATCGTCAGTATTTTTACTTTACAACTCTTAACTCGCCAACACTTGACTTTTAAAAAGATGATACGTAAGTAATCAGCGTAAGAATATTTTGTTATCACTATGCACGTTTACACGCAGGTACAAGCAATCTCCCAAGCTACATTCACAATCCTGGAAGTAGCCCACTGAAATATATGACAATTGGGAGCCTGGTAGAGGAAGCTGCAAAAACATATGACCAAGTCACTGCCCTCGTGTCTGGATTTGACAGGAGAAGGTTAACGTACGCTGAAGTTTTGAGGCAATCTGACAAATTAGCCGCAGGATTGCTCTCTTTGGGTTTGAAGAAAGGGGATCGAATCGGATTATGGGCGCCCAACATTGCCGAATGGGCTATTGCGTTTTTTGCTTCCGCTCGTGCAGGGTTTATAACGGTAAAGCCTATTCATTTCTTGCTCCCAACCTTTATCCCTTGTTACGTTCTTTGGTTCAATTCAAACGTTGAGTGAAGATTTAATTACTCAATGATTCAAATCTGTGTGACAAAGTTTATTTCTGATGCCTTTGAAGTGCAAGAGCTTTTTATCGATTGGCAGTTTCCGCATAGTCATGTGGGACAAGTATGTAACTCAATACTATTTGTAGTAGACCCAGCTTCGTTGGGCAGCATAATTAGATCTAAAAGATAAGTACGGACATTTTGTGATTATTGTGAGGTCTTATCAACATAATTTTTACGACAATGAGAGAAGGCGTGAAGGATCATAGTGCATTCGTGTTTCGCTAACGTTTTTCTAGCTTGTTTATGTTATTGATAACTATTAATAGCATTAATTACAGCTTCTTGAACAGATAAATAAGCACGATTCACACGATGGATAATGACGCATTTTGCGATTGACCTCATTTATTTCCGCTGATGGAATTTGTTTTTAGTGTTTTTAGCATAGGGAGTTAAAATGGGCGTGGTTAAATTTAAATTTTATTGTCAAAATGAGGCTAGACGAATAGGGAATATGCATGTGGTTTAAATTTACTTGATTCTTTCTCCCGCGAATATTTATTGTCCTAACATTATACTTAAACCATTAGTTTCTTATTTAGTTTGTTTTTAATTGCTAAAAATGTTAATTCAAAAGTGCAAAATAAGCGAACGAAATTCAAATTTGCGAAACGCTTCACTATTGGACGAATGAAAGTGACGTCAAATGCCACGCGATCGCATTTGTTGTGTCAATATTCAAGTATTATATCCCAAGTGCACGCCAAATACCTGAATATTTCGCGAGTGCACGTAGTGCACGAGCGAAATACTCTGATCTGAGGGTATTTGGCGTGCACGAGGGATATACGGGATGACTATTGCCCGACAACAATTTTGCAAGATAAG